TAGATATTACTGATGAATATAATTCAGATAATAATATAAAAATGGATATTGACAATGATAGGAAACGAAAAAGTAAGGATTTAAATGAGAATCCATATAGCATAAGCAAGATACGGTATATGTATGAGATTTTGAGAGAAGATATTTTAGTATCAAGAGGATATGGTAAACTGGAAGTACGTACTGTATTTATTAAATGATTATAAATATTATAATAAATCATTACTATTTCTTTATATTGAATGTTGATACTTAACATCTTAGATATTATTGATGCGCATAGAAAATTATCCAAATTTCAAATCCAATATGCAGATTACATATAGGATTGACTCTCTACATAAAGAGAGTTGACTGTATTAATAACGATAAATATCAACTTTAATAAGATAAATAAATATATCCATTATTTAACCTCGAAAAACATTCATATATATAAAGTGTAATACGTATTGTATTGCTGTATTGTACTGGTACATTACATACTGCATGCACATAACACAAAATTCATAACAGATAAACTAGCTGATATGCCATCCGTCGAATGGTACTTAGGTTAGAACGGAATTTCAAATGTAGTTTAAGTTGATACGAAATTTAAAAGCAACTTTAGTTAATTCGAAAGTTGATATTCTTAAATTTTTATTAAATTCTTTTTCTTATTTTACCTTTTCGTTCTTTGCGACACTCTCTACCCGACGACCGAATTTCAGGATCATCTTTTTTACCTCATAATGCATTAGAAGAATTCTTTCTAAAAAAATTAGCTAATAGTCGACGTAAAACTTATAACACGTGAAGGCTTTGATTTTGTATTAAGGTTTTTCAAGATCTAGCAAACGCAAACACAATGATAGGTCCTCAAAATTTTAGAGAATGACAAATATAAACTTGGATATAAATTTATCATTATTAGAATTACATATGAATTTAATAAAGTGCTTCCTTTAGGTCATTATAAGTTTCTAGAATAGATAGTATTCGTTTAACGCTGATAAGCGTTCAAGAAGTGTTTATTATACAATCTTCTTTACTAGTAAATGCAATTTTAAAAACTCGTGAAACAAAAATTATTGTAAATGTAAAAAAAAGTAAGCATCCTGTGGGATAAAATCATAGGTGTAAAAACTTCATGTAATTCTTTTAATTTAACTAATTTGCAATGTACTATCTTAAAGTTACTTAAATTCAAAACAAGTACTCAATAAAATAATTTGGAAGATATTTAATTCTATTGTAAGTTTAATAATAACTTGGGCATACTTTAAAATCCTATTGTAACCTAACTTACTATGTTTATTGAAATCAATCTATGTGCTCTTTAAATTTACAATAATTCCATTCAATATACGACATATAAAGTCAATGTAAAAGTCGTATCTGTTGTAAGTGGAATTTCATAATCAAATTAGGGTTAGAAGGTATATATAATAAATTCAACTTCAGACTGCTGGTTTTATATAAAAACTCTGAATCCACTTAAAAACATATCTAAATTAACCACGTCGTAATTGGTAATTAGCTACACAAGTCTATCAAGTGTAAACTAATTAAAAAAAGGCCCTCGTTAATCAAAATTAACAATTTTATGAGGGAGCGCTATCAACATTGACTTTTATGTTGAGTGATCAACTTTATCCTGAAATAACATGTATATATAGTTGATGTAGAATCAATTTGTCAAACCAATATGGTTACTGCATGTACTGTATTATTTTCCGCAAATGCCATAATGCCATAATGCTGTAATTCCGTAAGCCATAAAGCCATTGTATCTAAATATTCTAATGCTTTGTGTTAAAATTATAGTTGTTAGACAAAACCTTTCTGCATGATGACGAAAACTCAGAAAGACAAAATCACTGGCGAAAGGTGAAATTAAAATTCATCCGACGAAACTCTGGTATGCTGCCAAAAATCAAAGTTTAAAGGAAATAAACAAATATAATAAAGCTGAGCAAGCTAAGCTATAGCATAATGTATATTTTAGACTTCGTGAATGTTATTAAAATTAAAAAACCACGTTTTTTATTTTTAATTTTTTTTTTTTAAATTAAAAAATAATAAGTTAATACTTTAGGCTTTTTAAATAATGCTGATACACTATTATAGTGAATTTACTAGATTCAAGAAAGTTTTTGCGAATAATTAGATGCGTGAGTTGCATAAAGAGAGTTAGAAATGATTGCAGTGTATCGATTGCACTAATACATTAAGTATCAAATTTAATTTAGTTTGACGCGGTTTTTCTTGCATACTTCTGAATAAACATTTATGCATTCATATTTGAGTGACGAAAAGGGAAAACCTGTAAATCATCTCACTCAATGAGTGAAATGATTTACAGGTTTTCCCTTTTCGTCACTCATTTATATTAACAGGTCTTGAAAAAGTACAATCGTGTACTAAATTAAAGTCTATTAGTTATTATCATTGTATCTATAATATACAAATTAGTACATACATGGTTAGATATTTTTGTTATAAACGTTTGTAGTTTATTGATTAAAGTAATATATTCACTTCAGTAATTTGTTTCTATACTGGTTTTTTTATCGCATCTCTTACTCAGGTCGATTTAGTCTGTAAGTTTAAGGTTTAAGATTATTTATTACATAATGCATAATTTATTGGTTAAAATTTGGTACTTAGAGAATTAATTCAAGTTCATATTTTTTATGTTCAAAATGGTTTAATGTAATAAAACTGGTTCGGGATGCTATGGTTACCAGATCCAAACACGTCATCAGCTTCCAATTTAAATGTTAGTTATCGAATTGTATATCAATAAACCAAATTTTTTATAATGTTAATGTACATGATATTCTGTAAAAAAAAAACTTACTCGCTATATTGATAAATAAAATATTTAGATTAGTTAGAATTAACATTCATTAGGGAATTTACTTGTGCGTGGTATGTGGTAAAAAAAATAAAAAATTTTGTAAAGAATAAAACTTAATGTATTACAATGAGCACTATGAAAAATTTATCATATATTTGACAAATTAAAAAAGCAAATGATAAGTTATTAAAAAAAATAATAAATTTTCTGAAAATTAATCTTAAGAACATCAATTATAATTACAATAATTTGATTTAAATACATATTCATGTGATAAGTAAAAAAATGATAAATAAAATCTAAGTATAATAAAAATCTATTAGGAGAACTTGTGTAAACAGATATACACATGCAAGTAATATTGAAACACAGTAATATAGTATAAGACCAAAATATCATAATCTATTATATAAAAAATGCATAAATGCAGTAAGTGCAATAAATTACCTTTGTGATCAGAAGCAGTATTTTAGATGCAGAGAGGTAGATAAAGAATAAGAAGAAGATACAAAAACAGATTACATATTCTTAAAAATATTAAATAAATTATTGTAAATAATTATAATTATTTTTATAAAATTATAAGTATAAAGTTATATTTGTAAGCAACAAAAGTAAATAATATAAAGAAAAGTTAAAATGATCTTTAAAAAAATAATGGTTTCTTTGCTTTATTAAATAATAAGTTTTTTTTTTTTTTTTTTAATATTCAACTAGCCTCTTTTGGGCCTAGGGTTTTATTCAGTAAATTGGACATAGGGACTTGCAGCCGAAGCCTCAAA